GGGGGGGGCTCTGCAACTTACCTGGCTGCGTCTTTCTCCTCGTGGCCCGATTGAGGGCTGCTGGGAGCAGGGGGTGGGGTTTGTTGCATGTACCCGTCCCCTGGGCTCCTTACTGCTGGAGCTCCGCTCCTGTGCGCTCCCGCAGGAAATAACCGCTGGCTTTACACACAGCAAGAGATTAAAATGTGGAATTTGCCACCAAAAGATGTAGTGATGGCCACAGGCATACCTGGATTTAAAGAGGAGATCACACAGGTTGATGGAGGAGAGGTCCATCAGTGGCTACTAGCAGTGCTGTAGGGTTGCCAGCTCTGAATTGGGAAATAGCTGGAGATTTTGGGGGTGGAGCCTGAGGAAGGTGTAGTTTGGAGAGGGAAGGGATTTCAGTGACAGAGAGTCTACATTCCAAAGTGGCGATTTTCTTCTGGTTAATCGATCTCTATCACCTAGAGATCAGTTGTAATTAGAGATGGGAAGGCCCGGGGAAAAAACCCGAAAAATTCGGGAAAAACCGTTTTTTTCCTGAAGACTTTTTTGTTTTTTCCAAAAAATTGGAAAAATTGAAAAAAAGAAAAAGAAATGACTATGAAACATTTTATCTTAGCATGATGAATAAAATATTTTAAGACAAGGTGCGCAGGTATTTTCCAAATCATTTCTAAAAAATATGTATGGTATCAGATTGATCTAATTTCTGTGCCCTGAGGACAAGCGAGTCCTAGGTTACAAACTGAACTCTCCAATGCAAGAACAAGATGCAGTTCTTCCTATAGGAGGTGCTGTTGTCACAAGAAAAGAAAGAGGTTTCAGTTTTGTTTTTGCATGTGGGTGGGTATTCTGTTTGTAATAATTGTTTGGATACACTATATCCCATGATCTATGTCTAGGCTAGTTGTGATAATTTCATGCCAAGTAAAAATACCCATAGTCATATTTTACGTTCCTAAAGTAACAGAATGGCTTTCAATCTGGAAGAGAAAAAAGAAGTGCTAATGTAGCATTTTTTTCAATCTTCCAAAAAATTTCCGTTTCCCCCCGAAAAAAACGGGGGGAAAAACGGTGTAGTTTGGAGAGGGAAGGAAATTTTACATCTCTAGTTGTAATCCAGTGAGTGCTCCCTCCTCATTTGGTGGCCAAAGTATTTGAGCTTCAGCTTCAGGATCTGGCCTTCCAGGGAACAGTCAGGGTTGACTTCTTTTAGGATTGACTGATTTGATCTTCTCGCAGTCCAAGGGACTCTCAAGAGTCTTCTCCAGCACCATAGTTCAAAAGAATCTATTCTTCAGCGCTCGGCCTTTCGGTGTTGCCCATCTGGTGATGTCCATGTGTAGAGTCGCCTCTTAGGTTGTTGGGAAAGGGTGTTCGCTATGACCAGTGTGTTCTCTTGACAAAACTCTGTTAACCTTTGCCCTGCTTCATTTTGCTTTCCAAGGCCAAACTTGTCTGTTATTCCGGTTACCTTTTGACTTCCTACAAAAGCTTATACCTAGAGTCAAACTTTGCTGGTCTTAAAGGTGCCCCTGGACTCGACCTTGGTTCGATTGCTTCAGAGCAACAAGGTGACCCACCTGAATCTATCAACGTAGAAAGTAGTTGAACAAAGTTTGGGTCCAGTGGCACTCTTAAGACCAACAGAGTTTTATTTAAGGTATTTCTTCCGTTTCAATGTATCTGAAGAACACGAAAGCTTATCCCCAGAATTAAACATCGTTGGTCTTTAAAGGTGGCACTGGACTTAAAACTTTGTTCCGTTGCTTTAGGCCAACATGGCTACTTACCTGAATCTATCCTAAGAACAAAGTTGGAGTCCAGTGTTACCTTTAAGACCAACAAAGTTTAATTCTGGGTATAAACTTTTGTGTTCATGCATGCTTCTTACGATACATTGAAATGGAGGAAAATGTTATGTTAACAGCAGATAGCAAAATGATAAAGAAAATCTATAAAATTTTGTTGGATGATACAATGGTAGAGGAAATTGTGAAGAATAATATGATTGTATGGGCTCAGAATTTAGGGCATACTATAAATCTTGAAGATTGGGGGCAGATTTGGGAGAAAAATATGAAAATGACTAATGCTATAACATATAAAGAGAATATGTATAAGATGTTTTATAGATGGTACGTTACACCTGATAGACTGGCTAAGCAAAATATTAACTGTTCTGATAAATGTTGGAAATGTAAGAGTAAAAGGGGTACATTTTACCATATGTGGTGGCTATGCGATGTTACTAAAAAGTTTTGGAAATGGGTCCATAGTTTGATGGAGAAGATACTAAGAGCAAGGATTCCATTTACTCCAGAGGTCTTGCTGTTGAATATATTTCCAAAGGATTATGAAAAAGAGAATAGGTATTTGACTGTTTATATGACAACAGCTGCAAGAATCTTATTATATGCCAAATATTGGAAAACCATGGTGATACCAACAAAACAGGAGTTTGTGAATAAACTTTCTGAAACAGCAGAAAATGATAAACTGACTCTAGAAATGAGATTAAGTAAAGAGTGGACATTTCAAAAAACATGGAAAAAGTTTTATGATTGGTATAATGCGAATGTAATAGAAGACTAGGCAAGGACAGCACAATGGACTTGAGAACACAGCAGATAGAAGAATGGAAAGTATTTGATATAGAGTTTTTATTAATTAAGTAATTGCATATAAGCATATAATGTAACTGTACTCTTGGTATATATGTTATGTGTAGTAGAGTGTCTGTTTGTAGTGTGTAGATTTGTTTGTTGTAGATTTAAAAAAATTAATTAAAAAAAAAAAGAAAGAGATGGAGGAAATACCTTAAATAATTTGTTCGTGTTCAAGGTGCCCCTGGACTCAAACTTTGTTCTTTTGCTTCAGAGCAACGTGGCTACTTACCTGAATCTATCAACGTGGAAAGTAGTTGAACAAAGTTTGGGTCCACCAACGAAGTTTTATGCAAGGTGTTTCTTACACTTCCATCTATCTGAAGAAGCGTGCATGCACAGTTGCACACGAAAGCTCCTACCTTGAATAAAACTTTGTTGGATTTAAAGGTGCCGCTGGGCTCAAGCTTCGTTCTGTTATTTCAGACCAACACGGCTGACCCACTTAAATCTAACATAATTTGGAGACATGACTCTTAACACAGACTATGGGGCCACCTGGCGGAGCCAAGCTGCGTACGCATGCGCCCAAACGCTCCCTCTCCCCCTCCCTTTCTTGTCGCCGTCCCTCCGCGTCCTGCTTTGACCCTTCCGAGGCGCCGTGGCTTCCTCCCGGCTCTCACCGGAAGCGGAAGAGGCGAGCCGAAGGGGCAGCGCGTGAGAGTGAGGCGGAGAGACACGATGGCGTCCCGCGGTCCCTCCGCCAAGCGTGGTGGCGGCGCCGGCGGGGCGGGGGGCTCTCGGGGAGCCGAGCCCCAGGGGGAGCCGCCGCCTCCGCTCCAGGCCGTGCTGGTGGCCGACAGCTTCAACCGCCGCTTCTTCCCCATCTCCAAGGACCGGCCGCGGGTAAGCGACGGAGGCCGGGCGGGGACACTCCCGCGGCGCTCTCCGCGATTCTGATCGCCGCTCCTCTTTTGAGAAGGCCTCGCCTTGGAAGGGACGGCGCCAGTCTCCCGATTTTGTTTCTTTACTGGAAATAGCAAGTCTCGCTTCTCTTCGGCATCCCGCCCGCTGCCTTTTAGTAGTCATTTGCTCAGCGATTTCGGGGCTTTGCAGTTCCTCGTGTAAGATAGCTTGTTCCCTTTGCGACAGCCTTATAAGGTAGGCTGCAGTCGAGGGAGGGCCGCTTAGGATGCTTAGTGAGGAGGAGGAGAGGAGATTGGATTTATACCCCGCCCTTCACTACTCAAAGGAGTCTCAGAGCGGCTTACAAACTCCTTTCCCTTCCCCTCCCCACAACAGACACCCTGTGCGGAGAGAGCTCTTGACAGAAACTGCTCTTTTTCAAGAACAGCTCTTATCAGAACTACGGATTGCCCAAGGTCATCCAGCCAGGTGCAAGTGGAGGAGGTCCAGTCCCTGCTGTTTCCACTTAAAAGCTATGCAACACAGCATTGAAGAAATCAGCTAAAAACCAGGGAACTCGCTTCTGCCATGAGCCAGTTTGGTGTAGTGGTTAAGTGGGTGGACTCTAATCTGGGAGGAACCAGGTTTGATTCCCCACTCCTCCACTTGCACCTGCTGATGTGACCTTGGGTCAGTCACAAGCTCTGGCACAGCTGTCCTTGAAAAAGAGCAGTTTCTGTCAGAGCTCTCTCAGCCCCACCTACCTCACAGGGTGTCTGCAGTGGGGAGGGGAAAGGGAAGGGGTTTGTAAGCCGCTTTGAGACTCCTTTGGGTAGTGAAAGGTGGGGTATAAATCCAATCCCTTCCTCCTCCTCTTCTTCCCCAATCTTGGATCTTGGAAAATGGCTGCTAGGTTGGAGTAGACGCTTTTGAGATAGACGTATGGATGGTCTGTCTATAACAGCTTTGTATTCTCAAGAGACAGGAGCAGGACCTGTTTAAAAGCAAAATCTTATTTTCCTAGAAGCCAGATTGCACATCCATCATATGTCCATCAGTCAGCCGCGGTTTGTACTGGATTCATCATATGTAACAGATAGAAGATTCCCAAACTGAGGCCACTATGAACCTAGCTTTCCTGGTCTGTGCAGTGCTAGACAGCTGCAGGTCATCTGAAGTAAAATGTACTGACATTTGTTTTTGAGACTGATGCTTTAGGTGCCTAGAATGAGAAACGTGTTAACAATTCTCACTCACTATTCCACAAAACAAGCCACCGTTTTACCTTTCCCATTGTTTTTCCTTGCCTTGCCACTTGAGACGTTGAATACTTGTATGTTTTAAAAGATTGTGGGTTGTGCTATAAAATAACCATCCTTTGGGAGAAGGTACCACATCTCTCTTTAAGTTTAGACCCAGTTCAGAATTCCTTCCTTCACTAATCAGCTTGAGATTCTTTTAGAATCACAGAATTATAGAGTTGGAAGGGATCTCCAGGGTCATCTAGTCCAACCCCCCCCCCCGCACAATGCAAGAAATTAACAAATACCTCCCCCACACCTCCAGTGACCCCTGCTCCATGCCCAGAAGATGAAAAAAAACCTGCTCCATGCCCAGAAGATGAAAAAAAACCTCCAGGATCTCCACCCAAACTGGCCTGGAGAAAAGTTGCCTCCTGAACACCAAAGTAGCGATCAGCATTTCCCTGAGCGTGTAAGAAAGGGCCACGAGAACTAAGCACTGATGCAACCTTTTCCTGCCCTCCCTTCTCATGATCTGCCTAAGTTCACAGAATCAGCATTGCTGTCAGATGGCCATCTAGCCTATATTTGAAAACCTCCCAAGAAGGAGAGCTCACCACCTCCCGAATAAGCCTGTTCCCCCGAGGAACCTAACTGTCAGGAAGTCCTTCCTCATGTTTAGCCAAAAACTGTTCTGATTCAATTTCAACCCGTTGGTTCTGGTCTGACCCTCTGGGGCAATAGAAGACAACTCCGCCCCATCCTCTACAGGACAGCCCTTCGAGTACCTTTCTGCTGGTTCACGTTTTCTCACTGCAGCAGTGCATTCCAATTTCTCAGCAGATGAAGGCGCCTTACACTGAATGAGACCACTGTCCCATCTAGGTCTGTATTGTTAGTTTTTACATACCAGAGTACTGGGTGGGGAAATGTCTTTCTCAACACCTGGAGGTGCCAGGGATGGGACCTGGGACCTTCTAGGTCAGTGGTGGCAAACCTATGGCACGGGGGCCAGAGGTGGCACTCAGAGCCCTCTCTTTGGGCACGTGGGCCATCGCCCCAGCGAGGCCCAGACCACCATTAAAGTGTCGAATTCTCTGCCAAATAATTTTAAGTAAATGAAAGCCTTTGGGATTGCTTTCTTTACTTTGTTTGGATCATCTTAAATTAATGTATGAGTTGTTTTTTCTAAAGTAAAACCTCAGTATTCAGGTTAAATGGCCGTGTTGGCACTTTGCGATCAATAAGTGGGTTTTGGGTCGCAGTTTGGGCACTCAGGTCTCTAAAAGGTTCGCCATCACTGTTTTAGGTGCAAAACAGGTTCTCGGCCACAGAGCCTGCGCTTCATGATGTAACACATTTGTCGTGCCATTAAGCATGTAACCCTCAAGGTGGTTTAGAAAAGAAGCGCAAAAAAATGAAATTAAAATATCAGTCGCAGAACTCGTATTAGCAGGCATATGGGTTAACTGCCACTGAGTTTCTTCTGACTCGCGGCAACCTTATGAATTAATGAATGTCCTCCAAAATGTCGTATCACTAACAGCCGTTCTCATGTCCTGCAAGCTGAGGGCCGTGGCTTCCTTGATTGAGTCAGTCCATCTCATGTTGGGTTTTCCTCTCCCCCCCCCTGCTGCCTTCAAGTTCAACTTTCCCTAGTGTTATTGTCTTTTCCAGTGACTCTTGTCTTCTCATAATGTGACCAAAGCACAGTAGCCTCAGTTTGTGCTTTTTAGCTTCTAGGGAGAGTTTAGGCTTGCTTCGATCTAGAATAACCCACTTTGTTTGGTGTAGTGGTTAAGTGCACGGATTCTAATCTGGGAGAACCAGGTTTGATTCCCCACTCCTCCACTTGCAGCTGCTGGATGATCTTGGGCAAGCCATAGTCCTGTCAGAGCTGTTCTTGGAAAAGAGCCGTTTCTGTCAAGAGCCCTCTCAGCCCCACCTACCTCACAGGGTGTCTGTTGTGGGGAGGGGAAGGGAAAGGAGTTTGTAAGCCGCTGAGTGAAGGGTGGGGTATAAATCCAATCTCTTGTTCTTTTTTGTCGTCTTCGTTTCTTCTGATGGTCCATGGTATTTGTAAAACTCTCCTCCAAGACCACCTTTGAGAGGAAACGACTTCCTCCTGTCAGCTTTCTTCATTGCCCAACTAGCAGTAGCATTTAAAAGCAGAAAACCAGGAGGGGAAGTGCCTTAAATACCATTAAAATACCAAAGGATAAGATGGAGTGCAATAAATGTTTTCTGTTTGCACACCCATATACTGCATACATATGTGCCCATAAGGATAGTAAAGGAAACATATCAGAGGAGAAGGATTTGGGGAAGATTTTCTTTGGGATGGAGAGGCTGTGCTGTCTTCTCTAAATTTATTTGCTTTTATTTATTTATAGTCTACCTTTCTTGCTGAGACTTAAAGCAGATGACAAAATTTAAAATAATGCAATAAAGACAGCAGAAGATACAGCAAGCAAAATGTTTATTGTATGCGGCCAAAGGCCAGTACAATTAGGACACACAGAGTAGACGACTATGGTAGAAAACATATGATTACAGGGTTAGAAAATAATGCAATGAAAAGGCACAACAGATGCAAAAAAATGGATTATAGAAATTAGCAATCCGTGGCCATAGGACCAAGATGATGTGTACCAGGGGTCATTTCCTGCAGGAGCGCACAGGAGCGGTGCTCCGGCAGTAAAGAGCCCAGGGGTGGGCACATGCAACAAGAGAGAACTCTTGACAGAAACTGCTCTTTTTCCAGAACAGCTGTGCCAGAGTTATGGCTTGCCCATGTTCATCCAGTCAGGTGCAAGTGGAGGAGTGGGGAATCAAACCTGGTTCTCCCAGATTAGAGTCCGCGCACTTAACCACTACACCAAACTGGCAAACTGTCCAGGTAAGCTGCAGAGCCCCCCCCCCCCCCCCGATCCAAAACAGTCCAGTGGCACCTTTTAAGACCAGGTTTTATTCAGGTACAAGCTCTCCCTCCTCTGCGAGGACAGATCTGCACGTGTCCCATCCCCCCAAATAGCTAGCAATCCAAAACAGTCCAGTAGAGCCTGAGCGGTGGGTGTGGCCTCCTGACACACTTCCGGTGATGTCAGGGGGTGTGGCATATGCAAACGAGTTATGCTAATGAGCTATGCTAATGAGCCCCTGCACCTCTTTTTCTACGAAATGACCCCTGATTGTGTACAGTAAACAGTGGCATCAGCTACAGTCCTTGTCCCTTTGTAAAACCGTCCTACTGAGTATTTCCATTTCACTACAGGCTTGTTTCCTTACGAGGCACTTGAATAGCCCAGACTAGCCTGAGCTCATCAGCGTCTGGAAGCTGAGCAGGGTCAAGCCCTGGTTCGTATTTGAATGGGAAACCACCAAGGAGGTCCAGGTTTGCTGTGCAGAGGCAGGCCGTGGGAAACCACCTCTGTCCGTCTCTTGCCTTGAGAGGTTGCCATACATTGGTTGTGACCAGTGTTCCCTCTAAGCTGCGCAGGTGAGCGGCCGCTCATTTAGAGATGTAAAATTTCCGGAAATTTTGAAGCTCGGAAAAAACCCGAGAAACCCAGAAAAAAAACGGAAATTTTAGGAAAAATTGAAAAAAATGCTACATTAGCATTTCTTTTGTCTTTTATAGATTGAAAGTCATTCTGTTACTTTAGGAACATAAAATATGACTATGGACATTTTTACTTGGCATGAAATTATCACAATTAGCATATTCAAAATATAATGTATCCATTACAAACAGAATAC